GTTTCATAGTTATTAATAGAGCCATACCAAAGTGTTAACTGAATTTGACATAAAGTATATTATCTATATCATCTATTTCAAGTTACATGATACAGAAAATAGGGAATAGGTTATCCTCAGCTTGATGTTGTTTCTGGCTAAGGTTCATCTAGGCTTACAAAGAATGTGCCTGTAAGAAACCCAAAGTTACACTTTAAATGAACCTCATCTTGAAAGCAAGTACTTCTAGGACATTAAAGATTCCTTTTTCCGTTGATGAGTCAGTCATTTGGATGAAGTAAATAACCTCACCATATTGTGAACATATGGGTTAGAAGCACCAGTCCCGAAGAAGGTCATATGGTGTTGAACAGGCTAAGCTTTCAAAATATATGAAATTATTTATTTCCTTAAGCCTAAAATATGAAGATGACCCTTATGGGGGAAAAACTGCTACAACTGCCCTAATTAGGGAGCTAAATTAATCAACTTGGCAAGTAAAAACTCCCTAGATTCTGTTCTTCAATGGGCAATGTGCCATTGGCCTCCATAATCAAGGATGGAGCTACTGATGGTGAGTATGTAGGAGTGGCTAAGATGATCCATATGTGACTAATAGTTCTTTCCACTGTGGGCACATGTGATGACTGGTCTTTGATAATGCAGTTGTGGTGACTTTTAGCAGTTCATGGAGGTTTGTAGCTCTACCTATAAACATCTTGCGGTTACCCTGAAGAAATTCTTTCAAAAACAGACAGTTCTTTCTTGAATGCTGCACACCAGGCTGGCACATCTGATGGGGCTGCTATTTCCCAGGAAGCTGTATCATGTGGTGGCTGAAATATATGCCAATGTATTCTTGACACAATTCCAAGTTGCCTTCCTTTCTATCCTCATTTTAACTTATTTAAAAGATGTTTGGGCATCCTACATTCGTTCTCTTCAGAGGTTAACATAACATGGTAAAAACAGATCCAAGATGGGCTTGGGAGACACGCTGGATGAGATGACTTCTGTGATCCCTCCAACAATGAGATTCTGTAAATGGAGAATCAGTGAGCGGTGTGCTCTTGGCCAAATCATGTAGTCTCTCAGGACCTCAGTATCTCCATTTGTAAAATGAGCATCAGAATTCTACTTAGCTCAATAGTGCCAGCATGAAAACATACACTTCGTAGACCTTAATGTCCTGCATAAACGTGATCTATTATTATTATTGTTATCATCTATTCTTTTCATGTGTACAGTACTGCACAGCGGAAGCAGTGGGAGGTAGAATAGAACACAAGAAAGTGCTGCCAGGAATGCCACCCAGTAATCCAATGTTTAGTGAGCTTGACAATGGCATACGTGGAATGGCATGATAACAACAGGTAACATTTATATAGCACCTACTATATGCCAGGCCCTTTGTTAAGTGCTTTACAAATATTATCTCGTTTGATCCTCAACAACCCTGGAAGGTGGGTGCTGTTATTACCCCCATTTTACAGGTAAGGAAACTGAGGTAAACAAGTTAAGTGACTTGCCCAGGGTTATACAGCTAGAAAGTGTGACTCAGGTCAGATTTGAACTCAGAAAGACGAGTCTTTCTGACTCTAGGCCCAGCACTCTATCTACTGTGCCACCTAGCTGCCTAAAGAGCTGGGTCAGCATCTTTAATAAACTTAAAATTCACAACTGTGTAGACATGACTCCTACTTCACAGTCTTTCCTTGAGCTAAAGTATTGTGTCAGCAAGGTGACATCCCATTGTCAAGCATTCTGCCCGAGATCTGGAATATACTCTTCAAGTAGATCAGTGATGCAGGCAATGTGGATGTGTCCTCTACTGCAGTTGGCTAGAGAGAGTTCACCTAATGCACCAGGGGCCTTCCTTGCTGGCTCCCAAGCGAGTACACGGGATGTCCGCTGGGGGCACATGAAAAAGCCCTTCTTCCCTTTCTTTTTCAAGGTTCTGGAGCTGTTCCATGTTGCAGTCTGTTCTAACCTCAGAGCTTCTCTATTGCCCTCAGTAATGCTAATCTTGATTCTTCAGAGAATATCATGTTCCACAACTTGGAGCTATCCAACATTGATAAGATAATGGAATGAACAAGCTGGACCTTTGTTTCCGTGAGAAATATGTCGGTCATTAAAGCAGTTTTTCAGTTTCTTGGAAGCAATCCAGGTTGCTCTCTCTTCCTCCTGTTTAGTTCCTGTTTAGTTCCAACTCATTCTCTACTTTTACTGTCTTTCCAAGAGACATCTACTGTGATAGAAGAATTCTAAGCCGTCCAGCTGGCCGCAGAGCATAAAGGGCATTCTTCATCCATTTGGTTTTCTGGTGTGAACAGTTATGGATTTTTTCCAGGAGGCACTGAAGGCTTCTTGGGCTTGTCAGCTATGTCATGCAGAAAAAGGAATACCTACAGGACCTTAACATGGATGGGGAATCTGTAGAGATGAGACTGCCAGATCTAATGGCCTCTGACACTGCCAGTTCCCCTCATCTCCCTGATTCTCTTTTCCCTCTAGGTTCTTGGGACACCACTCTCTCCTGGTTCTTCAGTCCTGCCTACTCAATTACTCCTTCTCAGTCTCGCCTGCTGGATCTTCAACCAGGTTTCCACCCCAAACCACTGGGGTCTCCCGAGGCTCTCTGTCCTGTCAGACTGTCACACATGCTGCATGTGTGGAGTCAATTCTGACTTTGAAGCAGTAGCCTCTCACTTAACCATCTCCACAGCTGAGCCATCACCTCCTGAAGCACAGTTCCATCAATGCTCCCAGGGGCTCTGACAGCTGCACTGATTTTTCCAAAGCTGGAATAATTTTGCAAAATTCTCTATGTAGCCTTCTCAGTGAGGTAGAATAAGGAAATCACACCAGCCTTTGATACTTTTCTAGCGTCCTTCTTCTATACACCGGCTTTAAAAGCCTAGAGACCTGTAGACTTTCCAGGTACCACAGATGGGGGCTGACTTATTTGATCTTAAACATAAATGACTAAAGATTATGCTTAGACAGACATTTAAGCACATCAAGAATGTGTTGGCATAAACTGACATGAATGACCAGCATAAACTTCTCTCACTGATCCCGGCTGTGACAGTTTTAGAAATCCCTGTAGCCACTTTAGTGGTGAGCTCCTCCCCAAAGTCCATCGCTGGGGTCCATCCTAGAAAGCTCCTTGAGCCTCATAGCTGCTACCAGTGTGTGCTCCATTGCCCTAACCATTGGGAACCCAATGTCCTGTGTTAAGGATGCCACAATAAGCAGAGCTAGAAGAGGGCTTTATTGGGGACAGAACTGATATATGCCAGGGATAAATAAATCAGTATTTATGGTCAGAGTGGCTTGAGAGGGAGTTATGACTCACCTTTAAATCAAATTCATACAATTCTTGAGGGGTTTGCAAGCATTTTCCTCATAGATATTAAAGTAGACTCACTTAGACTAGACAGTTAACAAAGGCAAATAAGTAAGCTCAGGGGCTCTAAATAGAGTGACTGATGTACTACAGGCCCAATCAAAATGATCAATACAAGGCAATCATGAGTCAGTAGAAGAACTGAGGTTATCGAAGTCATGGAATTACCTTTTAAAAAAATATGAGAAGCTACAATCTTCCTGGAAAGGGACTGGGAGAGTTTGGGTTTCAGCAAACAAGTAGAACAAGCAGCCTCTGAAGCCTGGGTCTGAGTTTGATTTTCTTTTATGTAACTAGGATTTCACATTTTTCTACCATGTCTGAGTGACCACAACATCAACTATAGCTCTTCCCTAAGGCAATGCACGTCTCTCCACCCTCCTAGAGACAACTGCTCCAGCTATAAAATCTTCCTAATATGGAATATTATAAATACTCTTTTATAAAATGGTAATCTTGGAATAGGAAACTAATCCCAGCTTCAACGTGGTAGATCTGCTTTCACAAATCGACTCTAAGGACTGGGCCTCAGCCTGCACAGAGAGAGAGTTCTCTAATCTGGATCAATTCCGTAACCTATTCATCTGTCTTCACTTAAGAGTGAGTTGTGGCCCAAGATTCTGAGGTAAATCCACCTTCTTAAGAAAGATGCCAGGAGATTATTCACGTCCACCAAGTGTGGAGACATTCCTGATTTTCTTTCTACACATTCACAAACTTGAGCTTTTAATTAGCATGGCTGGAGGGGCCTGATGAGTTACTGATGTTATTTCTAGTGTCTTTTAAAAAAATTATTAAGGATTAAGATAGAGGAAATTGACATTTTAGTTCCATAGCATTCTCCTTCTAGGGTGCATGTGGCAAAAGGCATTTGTGTATGTCAACAACGAAAAGAAATATGCAAATATGAAAGTGCTGGCATGCCCCATTTCAATGTTCATATTTTGGGGTGGATGCTATTTATTTTTCCATGTCCTAAGGCTTCTGAAAAAGCTTTGGAAAATTCAAGATTAAGGATGGAAAATACGGACAAAAATGCTTATTTTTTCTTATAATTTCATTCCAAATTAAGCAGAACTTCTTAATGCTTTCCCAGTCATTTGTATATTTGCAAATATGAGATTCCTATTTCAAGAAATCTCTCGAGTCTGATTGCATCAGCCTGGTTTCTGAAGGGTGAAATCTATTGAAAACTAATTAACAAATGATCTCACTAACATATTCTGGAAAAAAAAATTAAAATATTTCAATAACAGGGCTAAACACACATGTAAACAGCTGCTTTATCCCCTGCCTCTTAGTGAGTTTATTTTTCGAGGGAGATCAAAGAATTCAGAAGCAACATCAGGATTTATAAAGGTGAAAACTATATATGGCAGATGGTCAAGACTGATCACACTCTACCTGAAGCGTAAATACAACACTGAAAAGTCAGGAACAGTTGGCCAAATTTGGACCAAGGTCACTTTTGGTAGGGGGTGGGAGGTGGTAATTCTCAGCGTAAAGCCATGAGGAATAAGAGTATGCCAGGTACTATATGAAGCAAAGAACAACACAGAAGAAAAAGTCCTTGGCCAGCTCCAAAAGCAAGAACGAGAATTCTACCTACCATGGACCATATAATGCCCTGTGGCTTCGGCCTCGTGCAGCCGGTCACAATCACTCTGGTGGGAGTGAGGATGTAATCCACAGTTAGATCATGCTCACCAAGCAGCTCTTCAGGTATATCAACCACCTGATGGGAGAGAAACGTGTCAAACTTCAACTGAAATGAATCCCTACGGGCCAGAGATCGCTTTAGAAAACCTCAAACTAATGTTATCTATGTGGTTGTGTATTTTTATTTATTTTGTTGAACATTTTCCAATTACATCTTAATTTGGTTCTGGCCACACTGGGGAGTTCAGCTGACAGTCAGTGAGTTTGAAACCTCTGGTGTGGATGATCCGACAAGGCCTAGCGCCCAACTTAAGTTTACTGAAGGAGTCATTAGTAGGAACAGAACACACTGGTTACGGGAAACCATACCCAAATTTACATTTTAGATGGGGGACTGCTTGTTGTATCACTAAATGAATCCAGCCCTAGCAGCTTGAAAACAACACATGGCACAATCACAATCAATCTGAGGGCAGTAAAACAGATGCTGAGATAAACACACACATAAACACACAGGACAGAGAAGGAGTGTGGTGGTGTTACTTGGTTCAGTTGACAGAAATTACCTGGCAGTCATGCACGATCGTTACTACTGGTGTCTCCTCCCTGACTGCTCCCATGGATACCATCATTGCATATTCCATGTCGGCATAACCTTCTCCCTTCCCAATTCTCCATCCTGCCAGTAAACAAAGCCACGACACCAATGACAGCTTATAAGGAAATAGCAAAGGGACAGTTTTAATTTTGTTGTGTCAGGGCTACAACTCCAAATGATGCTTGTCCCTTCCACACGAGTCCACTCTCACAGAAAGCTAATTTAAGGTGGACCTCCTATAGTCAAAAATCCATGTACTGTATTTCTACCTTTATAGCTCGCAATGCTTCTGCTACATAATATCAGAGACATAGTTCCTAAGGATGAGGATTCTGAATGCATATTAGAAATGAAAATGAATTTCACAGAAATATCTCACCACTAATCTGTGGCAATAAGGATCTTTTTTAAGATAATTAAATAGCAATTTAGAAACATACTTGAACAGATCTCTAACAAAATGTTAAATGTTTTTAAAAAAACAATCTCCTGGGAAGAAAAAGTCAAGCCTTCAAAAGTATGGATGTGTGGCTTGAAATGATGGTAACTGAAAACAGTTACACTTACATATTGTTTTAGGTGGAGAAGTACTTATTGTACATTATCTTGTGTGATTCTTTGGAACAAGCCTGTGAAGTGGGCCAAATAAGTATTATTATCTTTGTTTTACAGATGAAGAAAGCTCTGACAGGTGAGGCAGCCTCTCTGATGTCACACAAGGCAGAGGAGAAACTTGACTCCACATCTTTTGACTCTAGAGATCTTTTGACCACGTTGCCTCTCAGATGTATGTTTTCTAAAAATCACTCTACATTATCTTAATCACCAAGAAATTCTCCAGTGAGACATGGGTTAAGTAGAGCTGCGTTGCTGCTCAGTTGATTCAGTTATATCTGACTCTTTGTGACTCCATTTGGGGTTTTCTTGGCAGAGATACTGGAGTGGTTTGCCATTTCCTTCTCCAGCTCATTTTACAGATGAGAAAACTGAGGCAAACAAGATTAAATGTCTTGCCCAGGGTCACACAGCTAGTAAGTGTCTGAGGTCAGGTTTGAACTCAGGAAGATGAATGTTCTTGACCCCAGGTCTGCCACGTTGTGCACTATGGCGCCACCTAGCGGCCTAAGTAGTACTCTTTCGTAAATAGGGAAATGGCAGTTAGGAGTAAAAGGATTTATCTAAATGGAATGTGGATTCAAACCCAGAATTCTTAGCTTCTTAAAGAATCTATCACATCAAACTTCTACAAAGAGAACAAATATAAAAAGAAGGGTTTTTGTTTTTTTAAATCTCAAAAGATCCATTCTTTTATATTATTACCATTCTAGGACACTAGCTATTTTGGAAATCTTGCGTACAGCCTGATACGGTTCACAAGGACCTCAAATAATTCTGATCCTGGGAGAGGTTAATATAAGGCCTCAATTTACAATGTTCTCTCTTTCTCATCTCTCCCATTTCTTTACTCTCTCTTTCTCTCTGTCTCTCTGTCTCTGTCTCTCTCTCTAAGAGATAAAAGAAAAGGCCTTGCTAGCCACAGTCAAAACATTACTTTACAAGTGCATCTCTGCTAATATGCTGACCCCAGGTGGAACCTACCGATTTGCCAATTTAAACAGATTACTTTCAAAGTGCCTGGTTTTGAAGCATACAAGATGGCCTTGTGGAGTGGAAATAGCAGCATGAGGAAAAAGTCCACCATAAACCACAGGAGCTTAACTGCTTGAGGCAGTTAAGGGGTGAGCTGCCTGGCCAAGGGAGCACAGCCTCGCCAGAGGCCGTCCTGAGGGTGGCATGGTTCCGTTCCCCTGGCAAAGGACTAAAGGATTCTGAAAAATTGGCAAGGAGTATGAGGGCCACGCTGTGCTGTTAAAGACATAACTGATCACAAGAAAAACAAAGCTCAGAAGCTAAGGCTTTTCTACCGCTCAAGTCCTCGCAAACCAATGATTTACTGCAAATATATTCAGTTTCAGGCCCAGGTAACTTGAGAAAGAAGAGGAGGCTCATTTTAAGATCTTTTCCTTAAGGTAGGTATATTTGAAAGTGGTGAATTATTTGAGGGGCCAACTTAAACATCAGTGATCCACCAATGACTGTTTTAATTAGGAAGACCATACAATAGAGTGAAAGTGCTGTGCCAGCAGGCTCAGCTCTAACTTTGTTTTTTTTTTTTTAATTTTTTTTTTTTATTGGTTGAGGCAATTGGGGTTAAGTGACTTGCCCAGAGTCACACAGCTAGTGAATGTTATGTGCCTGAGGCCAGACTTGAACTCAGGTCCTCCTGACTCCAGGGCCAGTGCTCTATCCACTGCGCCATCTAGCTGTCCCACAGCTCTAACTTTAGGTAGACTCTCCAGGGGTGGGAAACCTACAGCCTCAAGGCCACATGTAGCCCTCTAGGCCCTCAAGTGTAGTCCTTTGACTGAATCCAAACTTCACAGAACAAATTCCCTTAATAAAAGGGTTTGTTCTGTAAAACTTAAGACTCAGTCAAAGTGCTGCACCCAAGGACCTAGAAGACCATGGGTGGCCTCCAGGCTGCAGGCTCCCCACCCCTGCTAACTTTAGTTCTCTCACTAAATAGGGTTAGGGGTGGGGTGGGTAAAGTCACCACTATTCTGCACCAGTATTTCCTCATCTATAAAATGAGGTGGCTGGACTTCAGAGTCTCTATATATCCATGACAATGATCAGTGGTGACTCAGGCATGTGTCCAGCAAGGGGCGATTACCCCGGGGTCATGATCATAGAAAAATCAATAAAGAGTACTTTGAGAATAACAACTGAAATCACAGCTATACTAAAAAATTTGAATGCAAAAATACCTTAGAAGATAATGTTAACAGAAGTTTTTGAATACACTAATTAATGTTGTTTATTCCTACCTTTTTCAGAAACAGCCACTGATCCCACCACTATCAAATCCACTAGGACTCTGGAATCCAAACCTATGGGTATGCTGTAGTTTTTTACACCCTAAAAGCAAAAACATGTTTAAAAACTTCAAATACAATGGCAAAAACAAGGTCGGCTAATGAAACGTTGCTTATAAACACAAAATAGAGAGGATATTCACCACATGTTATTTAGTCAATCATCATTTTGGGTGATAATAAGTCATAGCTATATTCTCAAGTTACAAAACTAATTCTTGTGTGCCTGAACACAATTTCTCTTGGTCAAGGTGAAAAAGGATCATTAAGACATATATGTGTGTTGTGTGTGTGTGTGTGTGTATGTATGTAAATGTGTATATATATACACACACATATATATCTGTGTGCATATATATATATTATTAACTAATGAAAGCCTATATTAAAAAGAATGAGACTAAAATGTGGTATGAAGCAAGAAGGATGAAACCAAAGCCTCTTAGAAAGTCTAGAAAAATATAAATTTCAATTTTAATTTAGCATAACCTTCAAAAATTAGAGACAGTTATGAAGTGCTATATTGGGTCATGTATGTAAATAGAAAACCACTTCTGAAATTAGCACATACAGTTCATTTTAGAGTTCATGGCCCAAACCACAATGATCGTTTCCTCTCACCATGTTGTTCAAACTGTCGCAATCTGTTATCTCGAAATAGCTATTTCCAACAAATCAGGTGAATGATGCTTGTTGGGTCAAAAAATGTTTGTGCTTCCTTTGGTGTTGGCTGCTGTGTTCAGTGACTGGCCCAGTGATGGGCTGAACCATATTCTTCCTTAATCTCCAACTCTCTCTTCTTAGACTTCCTTTCCTTAGACTCCATCCCGGGGGCAGATTTCCTTCCAATGTCATTATCATTGGCTGGAGTTTTCTGTTCATTTAGTCTGAGGAGCAGGAAGGGCTCTGAGTAACTTAAAGATATACTGAGGGTGACCCAGGAGGCAGGTGGTGAGAGATATAGGCTAGCTCTGTGGGCTACGACAGGTATGGGAGAAGTGAGAGTGGGACAGGAGGAAGACGGGTAAATACGTCGGATACTGAGGGCAAAATTTAGAAATCAATCTGCCAAAAAACCAGAGTAACACGAGAGCTTCCGGGACAGATGCACCAGAAGTAGGAGTTTTAGCCATGAAGACGGAACCACCCACATGACTGTCTGACTGTCCACTGGTCAGCTTGTTTGCCCCTGTGCTGATCCACATCATTAATCATAAAACAAAACAAAACAAACAAAAAAAAACAAAAAAATTCTTGCCACATGGTCATGGCCTTATTAGTTACGTGTTGTTTTCTATCAATTTTTTTTTACTAAACCTGCTTGTACCTTAGCAGTAAAATATGTTTTAAGTCAAATATCCTTTTTATAATAGGCCTTTAATAAATGTTGAATATCTATTGAAAGATTCTGGATCTCTTATTGTCCTAAAAACTTTGTTTTGCAAATTATTAAATGGGAAACTCTATCTTGAGGCCAAGAAGATTATAGAATTCATTAGAATACATATTTGGAAGTGAATGTCTTTGAATTTCAGATTCTACAAATGGTCCATTTTGCAACTGACTGTGGCAAAGGGCCTCTCATAAAATGCACTAATATGAAATTATACATAATGTTAAATAGACATCTTCAATTTTATATCACAACTACATTATACAACATGGCAAATCTGAGATTCGAACCTAGGGCCTCCAACTTAGAATTTATTATTCTTTCTACTACACCACACTGCCTTGTCCAGACTGTTAGGCCACAGATAATAACTGAGCCTTAAAAGATTGTGATTCTGATTTTTACAGGGCTGATGGGTAGAAATACTTTGAATTTTACAATATGATAGAGAGTCATTGAAATTCTGAAGACACAATACAGGAGAGATGCCAATGAAAAGGAAAAGAGGTAGTCATATAAAAGGCCAATATGGCTTCTAGGGAACAACTAACTTAAAGGCAAGTAGAGATGATGGCATTAAGGGGAAGGTAAATGAGGATGAATATAAGAGTAACATAGTCACGTAAAAATAGTGATTGGGCTGCACAGCACAGGATGAGCTGCGGCTCATGATGAATGCTAAAAAGAACAGGGGCTTCATCAAGTGGGGAACGGCTAAAGAAGTTGTAGTATCTGATTATGATGGAATACTATTGTGCTCTAAGAAATGATTAGCAAGCAGATTTTAGAAAAACCTGGGAAGAATTGTATGAACTGATGTAAAGTGAAGTGAGCAGAAAGAGCAGAACACTGCACATGGTAACAGTAATATTGTAATGATGATCCACTGTGAAAGACTTAGCTACTCTGATCAATTCAAAGATACAACACAATTCCGAACGACCCATGATGAAAAATGCTATCTACCTCCAGAGAAAGAACTGATGAACTCAGTGCAGATTGAAGCACATTTTTTTTTCCACTTTATTTTTCTTGCCTTTTTCTTTTTTTTTTTTTTTTTGCAACCTGGCTAATATGGAAATACGTTTTGTATGGCTTCACATATATAATGGGTATTGTAGTGCTTGCCTTCTCAATGGGCAGAGGAAGGGCTGCAGGAAAGAGCATAATTTAGAACTCAAAACTTTTTTAAAATGAATGTTAAAAATAAAAGAACAAGGGCTTAAAATATCTGTTTTGAAAGAAAGAAGACAATCGCAGAATTCATTAGAAGTTAGAAATTAACTTTAGGAAATTAGGAATTATCTTTCAATTTCAGATTCTACAACATAATTTTTTTTTCTGGCACCTAAGCCAAAGGATATAGAATAAAAAGCATCAAGAAATAGGCATTACATATAATGTTAAAGAGATTTTCAATTTAGAGTTACAACCAGGTATGGTAATAATTGGGGAATTTGGGACCAGATCTGCAATTTCATTGCAGATATGATGGCTGAGCCTCTATCAGTGACTTCTGAAAGACCTTAGAGAAGGGCAGGAAGCTTCAGAACTATGATGGGGTGGACTCTCGCACCTCACTCTTTATCCTGGGCAGTTCTGTCCACTTCCCACCTTAGATGGACGGACTACTGCAAACACATCTGAAAGTGACCACATCTGTCAGTATAAATACTATTCTGTTCTTGGTGTCTTTTGCCTCTTTACTATGATGGGCAAGAGAAATCCTTCGAGTAGAAGAATGAAAAGACAAAGGATATTTCCAGGAGCGTTGGTCTACATCTTGCCAAAGGGCCAGTCAAGTAACTCAGCCAAGTCATGTGCTCCAGACCAGACTGGATCAATGTGGTAACAGAACTACCACAAGGCAAATGCCATGCTTCAATCAGTAAGCCAAAACATCACCCCCTGTTTTACAAATCTACTACGCTTCAAATAGTTATCTGAATCTTGACTGCTTGGCAATGACTCTGCCATTACCCCATACCCCATATTTTAAATATGGGGCAGGGCATGGCTAAACCCTGAACACTGAAATTTAAGAACAAAAACAAAAACAAAAAACCCCTAAGCTATAGACATAGCCTTTCCCTTAACTTGCCCTGCCTTAGGGCCAGGGTAACTGTTGTACCTTTAATATCTCCTGAACAATGTGTTACACCACCACGGGGCCTCAATCATTGGTCAGAGGTTCCTAGGGGCCCTGAGAACCTACCCAAAGTTTTACACAGCTATGTCACTCTAGCTGAGTGATACCTCAACCAATAACCCATTTTCTGACCACTGGACTGAGAATCCACCATTCACAGAACTCAAAGCCCCAACTGCACCTGTAACCAGGCCAAGGATGCAACTGTGCCAATAAACCCTCTCTCACTCTCTTTGATCCCTTCTGTTCCTCAACTGGCTAAAGCCTTGAAAAGGTCATACACGAGGCCAGGTCTATAACTATCTGGAACAGGACCACAGTTGCAACATTGCCCTGACTGCTGGTTCAGAACTCCAGCTTTGAAAATACTGTTACTGCAAACTAACAATATGTGCTATAACGAGATTTGACCTATACATTATCTTCACTTGTGTTATTTAAATTAGGAAATGTAACAATTTGAATTAGAACACATTTTATCAAATTCTCCTTTTACCCCTGCTGCAATAGGGGGCTGCTTATAAATCAAATTCCCAACTAAATGCTAAAACAGATGTTTCAATGGCATTTGTTATATATACCACATTTCAACACTAGAGGACAGCAGAGGAGCATCTAGCTTAAAATAATGTTTTTTTAGAGGTAAGTTCATAGAATCCTATGGCATATTCACTCCTCTGGTCCCCTGAAGAGGGGCTTTAAAGATGATATAGTCCAATCTGAGTAAGCTTCCATTAGGAGAAAATGTATCCTAGATTTTCCCAAAGAGACAAAACCATTTTGAGCAAAGGTGAGTAGAATCTAGGTCTCTGTACTTGCAAGGCTGCTGGAAAATTGAAAATCATTTATGTGAATTGAATAAATATAGTAAATTATTCATAGTTTTTCTGTTTGAATTACTAAAGTCCAAGTTAGTACTTGATATTCCTTTTTGGGGAGCACTTAAAAAATGAAACCACAAATCTCTTTTAAGTAAATTTGACATCTAATTTTCTAAGCTGTCCTGCTTGCCTGCATTTCCTTCTATTCATTTATGTGTGTTTAAAAATGCTTCAAGGAGTCATTTTTAAAAATTAAATTAAATTTTTTCAATTTTCAAAAATCTATTTTCTCCTTCCTACTTCTACCTTCCATTGAAAAACAGAAAAAGAAAAAGAAAACCTTTGTGACAAATATGCAGTTAAGCAAAACAAATTCCCCTATTAGCCACGTCCCCAAGATATCCAATATGTTCATTTTCTGGTTTGTATTTTAAATAAAAATTTATTAATATTTATTATTTTTACATCATCATAATATTTTCCCTTCTCCTCCCTGAGAACTATTTCATTTAACAAATGACATTTTTTAAAGAAAAAAAAAGGGTGAAAAACAATTATCAACACTGATACATAGAACCAGTCAGCAAATATATGCAATATCACTGTAAAGCAGTGGGGGTGCGAGTATCTTCTCATTTGTCTTCACTGGGGCCATGTGTGTTCTTTCTAATTTTGCAACATCTACTTTTCCTTGTTTTATAATTGTTCTTTGCTTCACATTACTGTACTTGTTATTTTCTTGGCTTTGCTTACCTCACTGTGTATCAGACTGTGTTAATTTCTCCATGCTTCTCTACATTCACATTTATCATTTCTTACAGCATAGTAAAATTCCATTACATTTTTGTATAATTTGTTTAGTCTATCCTCAATCAATGGGCATCCATTTTATTTCCAATTCTTTGCTACCACAAAAAGTGCCACTTTTCATATATATGGGAACTTTCTTCTTACCATTGACCTACTTAGGGTACAAGTGGAATGTCTGGGTCAAAGGATATGGACATTTTTGTCACTTTATGTGCATATTGTTTTCCAAAATGATTATAATGAGTCACAGCTCCACTAAAAATGCATATTTCCCCCAAACCCTTCCAACATTGATTATTACCATTTTTTGGTTATTTTTTTTGCCTATTTGCTAGGTACAAAGTGAAACCTCAGGGTCGTTTTGATTTGAATTGTCTTATTCATTTAGAGCATTCTTTCATATAGTTAGAAGTTTGTAAATCTTCTTTTGAAAAACTGTTCATGTTGCTATAATCGAAATGAAGATAAACTTAGGCACAAAGTTCCAAGCATGTTTAATTTACTGGTAATGCAAGCAATTACCAATAAAAGGGGTCTTTCAGCTCTTCAATAAGCCAAAAGACCCTGAATGAAATATTTTTTACAGAAAAAAAGGAGGAGTATCCAAAAACTTGAAAGCAGCATCACAGATGGGTAAAACAGTATGATTGGTTACAAAGCTCGAAGCATCACAGGCATGAGGATCAATATGACTGGCTGGAAATTAGGAATAAGGGGTTAGCAATGACCCCTCCTTCCATCCTATAGCTAAGAAATGCTCATTTTTTGAGTTCACCTGCAAGGACAGTTTAGCAATAGCAGACCAGACTACCCTAGATAACAGACCTGGTGTTTACCTGAATCCTTCAAGAATAACAGATTTCTCTGCCCTTTTTTTTTTTTTTTTTAAGGCAATTGGGGTTAAGTGACTAGCCCAAGGTCACACAGCTAGTAAGTGTCAAGTGTTTGGTCTGAGGCTGGATTTGAACTCGGGATCTCCTGACTTCAGGGCTGGTGCTCTATCCACTGCACCACCTAGCTGCCCTAACAGATTCCTCTGACACAACAATAGAACAGTGTAGCTGGCTGAACTTCTAAAGGAAGCTCAGAGACAATACGTAATTTACAAGAAAGCTGAATTTACAATTTTAACTCTGAGACAAATCAAACATGACTTTGGCAGTTACAAAAATGTCTGCAGTGAAACAGAACTGAATCAATAACAAAATGAAATCAATTTGATTTTCCCAATTTTCAATATCTTTTGCCTTTATATCTTGGATAGCAAACCCTTATCTGAGAAATTTGATACAAAGATTTTTTTTTTCTCCCCAACTGACAGTTTCCCATCTTCCCCTAGATAACATTACTTTTGTTTGTGGAGAAGTCTTTCAGCTTCATGGAATCAAATTGTCTATTTCATCTTTTGTGATTGCCTCTATCTCTTCTTTTGGTTCAGAACACATCTCCTACCCATGGCTGTAAGAAGTACATGATCTTCTTCTGTTCTATTTTTTTAATGCTATGATTTTTAATATTAAGGCCACACATCTATTCGGAACTTACTGGTATAACATGTTAATCTAGACATAATTTCTGTGAGACTGCTTTCCAGTTTTCCTAGTAGTTTTTATCGAACAGGTAGTTCTTTACTAAGAAATTTATGTTTTCTAATTTATCAGCTATTAAGTTGTTGAATTCTATTGTTTCTGATTCTCCCGTGTGTTGTGTTCTGTTGATCTCTATTTTTTAAACTAATACAATATGGTTTTGATGACTTCTGCTTTAAACTATAATTTGATGTCTAGAAATATCATTCCCTCTTTATTCCTACCTTTTTCATAACTTCCCTTGATATTCTAGATTTTTTGTTTCTCTAAATGGATTTTATTATATTTTATTAAGTTCTGCAAAGTAGCCCTTTGACAGTTTGATTGGCATAACATTAAAACTGTAAATTAACTTTGATAGTATTATCATTTTTATTATATTTACATGGTCCAACCATGAGCAATAAATATCCCTCTAGCTAATTAAGCTGCTTTTTATTTCTTTAAGTATTTTCTAATTGAATGCATATAAGTATTTCATGTGTTCTAGTAGATTGATTCCCAAATATTTGATATATTCTGTGGTTGCTCTGAATGTCATTTCCCTTTACATTATTATCTCTTAGATTGTTATTATTATATAGAAATGATGATCATTTTTGTGAGTCTATTTTTGAAACCTTCAATTTCGCTGAAGCTATTGTCTCAATTAGTATTATGGACTCCCTAGGATTTTCTAAGCAAACCATCATGTCATCTGCAAACAAAGCTCTTATCTCCTCTTTGCCTATAGGGTATCTAGCTTTAAATTGCACTAAGATTTTTGGGACCTGAATTTATGCCCTTATTTTTTTCCTCTTGTCTTATTGCTATTGCTAGCATTTCTAGAACTACATCAAATAATACTGGGTAGAGAAAGTATCCTTGCTTTATTCTTGTATTCATTGGGAAAGTGTCTAGTGTATCTCCAATGCACATGATATTCACTTTTAGTTTTTGATATGTACCTTTTATAATATTAAAAAATAATTCCTCTGCGTACATTTTTAGGGTTTTTTAGCATAAATGAATACTGTATTTTGTCAAAGGCTTTTTCTACATCTATTGAGATAAACATAGTTCAAGATATTTTTGAACACAAACTACTAGGGAAAGACTCCCTAATGAGAAGAACTGTAAGGAAAACTATAAAACACTTTATCAGAAACTAGGCTTAAACCAATGCCATATGCCACAATAAGTTCTTAAAATGAATACTTGACCCAAATATAAAAGGATATATTATAAAAAAACTAGAGGAGAATAGAATAGATATCTTTTCGTAACCTTAGTTACGGGGGAAAATGCTTAACCCAAAAAGAGATGAGGGAATCATGGAAGATGAGGTAAATAATTTTAAAATGAATGAATGACAAAAGACAATTAGAAAAGTGCTGGATTAGTAATAAAATTCACTTTTATGTCACACTTCAACACTTACGAAGCACCATCCTCATAGCAACCCTTTGAAGAAGTCAATGACTCTGCATTTATTGCTACTTATGTGCTAAGTACTCAGGACACAAAGAGAAAAGCAGAGATAGTCCCTGCACTCAAAAAACTCTCATTTTAAAAGTTTTTGCACTAACAGAATCAGTCCACCTAAAATGAAAGAGATTGTTGAGGAGGGAATTTTTTGCATCAAGTATCTCAGTTAAAAGCTGGTTTCCAAAATATAGAGGAAGGTTGCATGCTCTCAGGTGGGGTCCCCATGATGTTTTTGCTTAACTGTACTTGTTAACAGGAAGGGCTTATGGGGAGGAACACAGTGAGAAATGACTACAGCATTAAAAAGGCCTCAAAACCTTTTTGTAAAATCCCCTACGAATACTAACTAATGACACACGAAAATCCCTTTGGTACTATCCCACTCCTGAAAGTCTCAGATCAAAACAGTTCTGATCCTATTTATGTGGGATGTCCATTTTTCACACTTACCTGAGAAGTGGCACATTTTCTCAGGATTTCTTTTGTTGCTCCTGGTGGTGGGACAATCTTATTAAATAATCCCGTTCTCAATCGTGGCGTAGGAACTAACAAAGTTTTTCTGCCCTTTTATAGAAAAAAGCAGCAAGAGATTACAAATGGAAATGTACCTCTTATTTCTTCAAACTACATCAGACAGAGAACCTATTCTACATGTTGTTTTTGAGCACGACCAGGATACCACCTCTTTAAAGGAACCAATATACAAAGTTGAGTACAGTAATTGTTTCGGGTTTTTGGTATATTTTTAATTGAAATATTTACAGGATGGTCCATTATACACAATACCATATCAAACCAATGGCATGGATTTAATGTCTTATATAATGGGTATTAATTTCTTTTTAATTTTTAATTTTTTTTATGTTAAGCTTCAAGTCAGTTTTTTTTTTAAAGGCAATTGGGGTTAAGTGACTTGCCCAAGGTCACACAGCTAGTAAGTGTCAAGTGTTTGGTCTGAGGTCGCATTTCAATTCAGGTCCTCCTGACTTCAGGGCCGGTGCTCTATCCACTGTGCCACCTAGCTGCCCCTGGGTATTAATTTCTTAAAAGAAAGTACAGCACTTACTAAGCTGTTCAGTCATATTTGGTTACCCATAAGGATCTTGGATAATTGTAAGTGAAGAGATTTGTTTAAAATTACTTTAATAATACAAACTCTGATCAAATTGTGTATGAATTTCAATCACAATATTTCTGTGCTTCCTATGTTCTCATTTATGTTCAGCAGTATAGTCTTTGGCATTTCATGCCTTGAATGTTATTTTCATTAGAAAACTATGTGCTATATTTATTCATTTATTCACAAAAGCATAATGATCCACCAACCCAACTAACTGTTAATAGCTGGTCTAATGGTGGTCACTACTTGTTATGTTTATTAAGAGCTTATAAATTCCAAATCCAGCACTCTGGCCACTCAACCTCTGATGACAAAGGTCCCTGTCCAAAAAGTCTCTGCTGGCCTGTCATTGATACCTAAAATTGTACCATTAGAAATTCAGTTTGTTGGGATTAAGGTATTATGTCCAAACAAGTATCCTTGAAAAATCTATTATATTGACTCAGAGTGTACAATTAGACATGTAGTTTTTGGAAATGGCTAATGTGGGAATTGACTTTGCTTGACTGGTATATTTATTACAAGGATTTTCTTTTCTTTTTTTTTTCCAGTGGCGTGGGGTTAGGGGCAAGGAAGTGGAAGGGAGAGAAAATAGGTTTAAAAAAGAAAACAAAGATTGATTCATAAAAATAAAAGAAAACGCTGTCATCGACCAATAGCTAGGGTAGAGTGATTTTTCTTGGGTGTTGTCACAGAGTGGGGGGCATCTACTAACGATCCAGAGACCACAGTCCTAAATTTCCTTAGTGTTCCTCCAACTTGTACCATGGGGTGGGAACCCACTCCTGCTATAATTGATTGCAGTGCCTTCTGCAAAGCTGTTGCACTCACTCCCAGTTTTTGCCACAGGCGGAAAAAAAAAGGTCTAGTTACAGATATGAGCTATGACAATAAGTAAGCCATTATTAATTAATTATAGCATAGTATAAATCAGTTTTTCGGTTCCTTCCTAATCTGAAAGACACCTGAGAGCAAGTTTTGATCCACAGGGAGGGAGCACTGCTCAGGATAAGAAGGGCTAGGTGAGGTGCTCATGACTCCTCAAGAGAGGCGCAGAGGACCCGAAGACAAAGTTCACTAATCTCAAAATTTTGCCCAAGTCCTTTTTCTCAGTTATTATTAGAAGCACAAACTACTATGAGCTGGAAAGAATCTCAGAGGCATCAATTTCAACCTCTTCATTTTACAAGAGAAGAAACTGAAACACAAAGAGGTGAAAAGACTTGCCCAGAGTCGCACAGCCAGCACATATCTGAGGCAGAATTCACACCCAGGTTTTCTGGACTCACAGAACACAGCATGAGGGGACCAGGCGTTTGTAGTCTGGAGGACTTGCCTTAAAGTACCGAAGAGATGCGGAAGGGGTCATTAGACTAGAAGCAATGGGTGGAAGCTGTAAAGAGGCACATTCAACCTAGACGTAAGAGAAAACGTGCTAACCGTGAGAGCTATCCAAAAGCAGAATGCCTATCTGACCCAGGAAGCAACTGATTCCCCATTAATGGGGATCTCTCCTAGCTGGGGATGTCATAGAAGGTAATCCTTGGTCGGACACAGATTAGATTAAATGGCTTCTGAGTTATTTTCAGCTCCAAGAATTTGTGGTGCATCATTTTCCTATTCAAGGAAAAGCCCCTGACTGCTTAGAAAATATACTGATTTTATCTTAGCAAAGTATCCAGTTTAGGGAAGGTATGATTACCTGTAGTACTATTAGTCGAACTCCTTCCAAAGGTTTATCAGGATCCACTTTAACTTCCTGCATTCCGGAGTAGGCTTCTAGCTCTCTGATATTTTGGCAGGCCTCATAAGACCCCTACATAGGTAAAAAAGATATACCATCATCTTACTTACATCGAGTGCAAGGAAGCGAGCATTTCTCTGGGGAGCATCAGGATTTATTTTAACAGTCCTGGACATTTTAAATTCCTGCACATGTAGCAGCCTTTCAGCAGCGTGAGAAGAACCCTAGTTTTAAAAAGAACAACGCATTACTTAAGGGCCTCCTAGACTTAAAGCTGAATAAGGAAAAGCTTCTAACAACCTTACCTTATGACACATAGAGATTAAGCCAACTTCCATTTCCCCAAACCTGCAACTACAAATTATAGGACCATATGTGCTCAGACTTGAGCTTTCCATAGGTAGCTAGTAGACCTCTACGCTACCATTCTCATGTCCTTTTGGCTTAAAACTGGTTTAAAAATTGTTGGCTTAAAATTTGGACCTTTTGCCCAAAACTTCCTTGTGAAGAATTATGCATTCACTAAGTACGTTTACTTAGAGGGGTATTTATTGTCTTGGGGGGGAGGGTTCCACGGCTCCAATGAGATAATAGGCATAAAGTATTTTGTACATTTGGAAATCACTATATAACTGTCAGTTATCACTATTATTAAAACTGCACCTAAATTCAGAGGATTTAGTTTCTGGAGGCAGTATGGTACAGTAAATAGGTTAGTTTTGGAGTCAGGAAGATCTGGTTTCAAAAGTCTAGTCTCTGACAGAATCCATTTAACATCCCCATGACAGAAGGAAGGATGAAAGGAAGGAAAGAAAGGAGGAAGGAAGGAAGGAATGAATAAAGGAAGAAAAGGAAGGAAGGATCTATTATGTGCTAAGCCCTTTACAAATATTATCTCTTTTTATTCTCACAACCACCCTAGGGGTAGGTGCTATAATTACTCCCAATTTACACTTGAGGAAAGTGAGGCAGACAGAGGTGAAGTGATTTGCCCAGGGTCACACAACTACTAAGTGTCCAAGGCTGGATTTTTTTTTTTTTTGGCTAGGCAATGGGGTTAAGTGACTTTCCCAGGATCACACAGGTAGTACGTGTCAAGTGCCTGAGGTCAGATTTGAACTCGGGTCCTTCGGACTCCAGAACTGGTGCTCTATCCACTGCACCACCTTGCTTGCCCTCCCCCCCAACCCCCAGCTGAATTTAAAATGAGGTCTTCTTGACCCCAGGCTAAGTGCTCTGTACCACCAAGCTGTCTTCAAGACTCTAAGTTACCCATTGGGCTCCCAGTCTTCATCAGTAGAGGGAATGTTCATCTTAGTTCACCAGTATGATGAAATAACAGATCCAGACAAAAACCAACAATAAAAACACTAACTGCTCATTTGTTTATAATTGTCAGGAAACAGGATGTTCTCCAGAATGGGGCAGCAGAGAAGGCACCCTCATATAGACTCTACTTAGCCCTTGTGTGAGCCCGGAGTCTCCCTGGATCTCCATAAAACGACAGAAATGTACCAGACAGCCATTAATGTATTTTCCAGCTCTAAGCTGTACGGACTTAAGGTCCATTTGCAAGGTCACAGAAGCTTACTCCTTTAAACATCAAGAACTCGTAAGCTTTTGGTGGAAACTTTCTAATAGCTAGAACAGGAGTGGGGCACCTGTGGCCCTCAAGTGCAGCCCTCTGACTGAATCCAAACTTCACAGAACACATCCCCTTAATAAAAGGCTTTTCTACCTGCTAGAATATACTCAGTCGCTTTTATTTTTAAGAATAAGTTCTTATTGCTACTTTCTTTTCTTCTGTCATCATAGTTATCCCAAGGATCTCTTCCCCTCCCCCTTCCCCAGGGCCAGCCCATAACAAATAGTATTTTTTAGAGGGTAAACACACACAGACACACTGAAATAGTACACTGAAAAAGTCTAACAGCTTGTGCAATGTGTAATACCTATGGCCCTCCTATCTCCACCACGGGGTGGAATGTCTTCTCAGATGTTTTCATTTGAATCCTGTTTGATCTTTCTAATTCTGCCACACGTACTTTTGATTTTTCAGCATGGGGTTGTGGTTTTCCATTTCCACTGTTGTAGTCAGTCACTGCATGTGTTGTTTTCTTGGCCTGGCTTACTTTACTCTGTATCAGTGCATACAGTTCTTTGCATGCTTCACTGTATTCATCACACACATCACTTCTTACAGCACAGTAACATTCCATCACATTCATATATCACAACTGGTTTGGACATAACCCAATTAATGAGTATCTACTTTGTTTCCAATTCTTGGCTATCACATGTATACACACACAAAAAAAGCTGCTATAAATATTCCCCCCAAAATGCTGCTTAGTTTGGTGTACATAGGGACTTTCTTCCTTGGGGTATAAGCCCCAAAATAGAATCTCTGGTTCAAAGGGTATGGACATTTTAGTCACTTTATCTGTATAATTCCAAATAACTCCCTAAAATGGTGATTCCATTTCAAAGCTCCACCAACAATGTGTTAATGTGACTATCATGCCACAACTCCTCCAACATTATCTATTGCTACTTATCCTTTTTGCCAATTTGTAGGGTGTGAGGTGAAACCTAAGAGTTTTTTTCGATGTGCATTTCTTTTATTATTAGTGATTTGGAACATTCTTTAATGTGATTATGCATATTTTGCAGTTCTTCTTTTGAGACCTGTTTGTTCATATCTTTAGATCATTCATTCTATTTTATATATTTTAGATACCAAAGTCTTATCAGACAAATTTAATACCAAGCTTTTATTTCTGATTTGACTACTTCCCAACTTATCAGAGATGCATTAATTTTGTCTGTGCAGAAGCTTTTCAGTTTCAAGTAATCAAAGTTACCAGTTTTATCTTTTGTAATTGCCTCTTTCTTTTGTTTGGCTAAGAATATCTCTCCTACCCACAGCTGTGAGAGGTATATGATCTGCTTTTCTTATAATTTTTGATAGTATGATCTTTAATATTAAGCTGGCATATTCTTTTTTTAAGTTTAAATAGTATTTTATTTTCTCCAATTAAATGTAAAGACAATTTTAAACATTCATTTAAAAAAATTTTGAGTTCCAAATTTTCTCTCTCCCTCCCTTCCCCTCATCCTCCCCCTCCCTAATATGGTGATTTGATATAGGTTATATATGTGCAACCATGTATAACGTACTTCCATATTAGTCATGTTACAAAAGAAGAAACACACTAAAAGGAAAAACACACACACACATACACAAATAAAGAAGGTAAAAATAGTATGCTTCCATCTTCATTCAGACTCCACAGTTCTTCCTCTGGATGTAGATCCATCACAAATACTTTGGAATTGTCTTGGATCACTGCATTGCTAAGAAGAGCTAGGTCAGTCATAGTTGTTCATCACACAATGTTGTTATTACTGTGTACAATATTCTCCTGCTTCTGCTCACTTCACTTTGCATCAGTTCATGTAAGTCTTTCGAGATTTTTCTGAAATCTGCCTGCCTGTTATTTCTTATAGCACAATAGTATTCTATTACATTCATATACCACAACTTGTTCATCCACTCCCCAATAGATGGGCGTTTCCTTGCTTTCCAATTCAATGCCACCATAAAAAAAGTTACTATAAATATTTTTGTATCTGTAGGTCCTTTCCCATTTTTTATTATCTCTTTGGGTTACAGACCTCATGGCGGTCTGCTGGGTCAAAGGGTATGCAGTTTGATTGCCCTTTGGCTATGGTTCCAAATTGTTCTCCAGAATAGCCAGATCAGTTCACAACTCCACCAACAGTGCATTACTGTCCCAATTTCCCCACATCTCCAAAATTTATCATTTTCTTTTTATGTCATTAACCAATTTGATAGGTGTAAGGTGGTACTTCAGAGTTGTTTTAATTTGCATTTTTCTAATCAAGAGTGAATTAGAGCATTTTTTCATATGACTACAGACAGCTTTGAATTCTTCATCTGAAAACTATCTGTTCATATCTTTGACCATTTATCAATCAGGGAATGACTTGTATTCTTATATATTTGATGTGGTTCCCTATATATTTGAGAAATGAGGCCTTTATCAGAGACACTTGCTGTAAAAATTGTTTCCCAGCTTTCTGCTTTCCTTCTAATCTTGGTTGCATTGCTTTTGTTTGTGCAAAAACCTTTTAATTTAATATAATCAAAATTTTCCATTTTACATATCATAATGCTCTTTTATCTCTTGTTGGTCAAAAATTCTTCCCTTTTCCATAGATCTGACAGGTCAACTATTCCTTGCTCTCCAAACTTGTTTATGGTATCACCCTTTATATCTAAATGATGAATTCATTTTGACCTTTATCTTTGTATGTGGAGTAAGATGTTGGTCTCCAACTAGGATTTGTGGCAAATCCATTTAATAGTTTGTGGAATATGATGTAAATTAGTTTAAGCCTAATTTCTGGCAGACTGCTTTGCAGTTTTTCCAGCAGTTTTAACCAAATAAGGAGTTTTCCCCTAAGTAATTTATGTTTTCCATTTTATCTGGGTCAACGTTAGATTACTGAGTTGTAATGTATCTGAATCTCCCTTGACTAGTCTATTCAACTGATCTATATTATATCATATATATGTATGTATCTACACATGTATATATACATATATATAATATCTAGCAATACCAGATGGTATTGATGACTACAGCTTTGTAAAATACTTTTGAGGTATGAAATACTATTCCCCTTACTTGTTTTCATTTCTCTTGATATTCTAGATCTTTTGTTTCTCCAAATAAGTTGCTGCTATTTTTATCAAGTTTTGTAAGGTATCCCTTTGATAATTTGATTGACATAGCTTTAAAAGTATTGATTAATTTTGATATTGTCACTTTTTTTACATTGGCATGGCCTAGCTGTAAGCACTGAATATTGCTCTAGCTATTTAAATTGTTTTTTTTCTTTACATTTATTTAGCTTTCAACATTCACTTCCACAAGATTTTGAGTTCCAAATTTTCTCCCCATCTCACCCCTCCCCCACCCCAAGGTGATGTACATTCTGAATACTCCTTCCCCTAATCTGCCCTCCCTTCTATCACTGCCCCC